AGCCACGAGAAGTCTGTCCATCGGATCCGTGAAAAGGAAATTCGACGAACTCATCGCGAACAACTCCGACAAAATGAGCACGCTCGACAAATTCCGAGGCCGCTCCAACCCGATCACATTTTACCTCGAGGAACTCCCCGGGGGATCCCCCAATTCCAACATACCCCTACTCATACGTGCCCGAATGGCAAACTTCGACGTCAGGCGCCTCCTCGTCGACGGCGGGAGTTCGGTTGACATCATATACTCACACCTGTTCACAACTCTCCAGCTCGACGAATCCAACCTTTCTCCCTACGTAGGCTCCGACCTTCAGGGGTTCAACGGGACGACGACGAGACCTTAGGGATACGTGGAATTAAAAGTCACCTTCGGAGAAGACGAAACGGCTAGGGACATCAGCATCCGTTTCTTAGTCATCGAATGCCCATCCCTCTATAACTGCATCCTGGGCAGGACGACGATAGCAGAGCTCACCGTGGTAACCTCCACCGTCCACCTGAAGATGAAATACTACACAAGAAGGGGGGTCATGGTGACCCTCAACGGAGACATCGAGGCCGCCCGAAGATGTTTCGAAGCCGCGCTGAAAGGCCTAGACTCCATCACTCCAGCGACCAAGAAGAAAACGTCAAGCACAACGCCAAAGGGCAAACCAACGGAGCTGGTCGGATCCGTTGAGCTCGACAGTCGCTTCACCGACGAGCTCGACCACGAAACAAAGACCAGCGAAGTCAACGGGCAGCCCTCACACCCAGCGCGCCCCATCCCGGACGGAGAATTCGAACTCGTCCCCCTCGGGGATGACACGAGCAGAACCGTGAGGATAGGCGCCGGACTCCCAGACCTCGCGAAACGTCAGCTCCAAGCCTGCCTCCGCGAGAATGCCGACCTCTTCGCCTGGAGCGCCGCTGAAATGCCGGGACTCGACCCCGAGGTCGCCTGTCACTAGCTGTTCATCATGCCCCGACCGCACGTTCCAATTAAACGACGGAAATAAAAGAGGAGAGAAATGATAACTTACTTGTAATGGCGGCGAACGAAGGAAAGGATCGAACGATGCGGCGGCGATCGACGGCAAGCGGCGGACGAGCAGTGATGACAGAGCTTCGCAGACACAACAACAGATTGAAAAGTAATAAAATGAGCGGGGACCTCTGTATTTATAACCCGGCGCGGTATTTGAAGCGACGCTAGGCTCATTAATGACATAGGGTAGCCGCCCCTACGACCGCTAAACACACGACACGTGGCGGAAGCCTGACAGTCGCGCCCCTTCGTCTACTTTCACCCTGTCGTCCCCGACCCGTGGGTAGTCGTCCTGCCGTGCACGAATCCCAACGAACCTCCCGCTCTGTTACCTTTCCCCGGGCACAGCGACCTTAAGTCCTCGCTCTCCCCCAGAGCTTCGACTTGGGGGGCTCCTGTTCCGGTCTGGGCCCGACATCGGTAGGCCCAATACCACGTACGGCCCAACAGGTGAACCGGGCACGCCGGGCACGTGCGTCCCGCGAGACGAGCAGAGCATGCCGCCGGACACAAGCAGCGCATCCAACAGCAGCTCGTCGTCCCTCTTGCCAGCCGAACAGAACCAACCCCGGCGCACCAAAGCGCAACCCTTGGTTCCTCCCCTCCGCGGGGAGAACAACGCGCTCCGGGGGACCTCCCGAACTCCCCTCCGCAGGGAGAATAACGTGCCCGGCGCACGTCCTCCACGTATTCCCCTCCGCGGGGACACGTCATCAACCAACTGCCCACCTCCGAAAGAGCAGGTCAAACCCACTTTCCGGAGATCTAGGAGCAGTTGGACTAGGGCGAAGACCACGTTCTGGTCTTCACTACGCCACGTAAGCCCTAGCAGTCATTAGGGTTGGGCCTGGTCATCCAGCCCATCTCAAATGACCGTTGGCCCAGCGCTGAGGTCTCTCTATAAATACCCTCTTCCTCAAGAGGGTCAGGTAATACACATCTTGCCCTCTCTGTACTTTTGCTCCCGCTCTGCCCAATTCCTTACTTTGGCATCAGAGTGTCTTGCAGGTACACCCCCCTTCTCCTCCTCATCACCGGTGAACAGGCAGCAGCCCAACAGAGTGTGGCCAGTCCATGATCCCCTCCTGATCAGGTCAGATCAGATCGTACCTGACCAGAAGGGGATCGATGACCTGCCATGCATCGTCGATCTGGAAGTTGTTCACCCAAAGTGTAGAAGAGGAGGGGGGTGTACCTGAAACACACTTCGATGCCAAAGTAAGTGACGAGCAGAGTGGAAGCAAGTATAGAGAGAGAGTAAGAGAGTTAAGTTACCTGACCCTCTAGTGAAGAGGGTATTTATAGTGAGCCCCCAGCGCAGGGCCAATGGTTATCTAGCACTGGGCTGCCAGGCCCAATGTTAGTGACTGGTAGGGTTGACGTGGCGTCGTGAAGACCAGGACGTGGTCTTCGTCATAGGGTAACTGTTCCGCACTATCCGGGAGGAGGATGACCGAATCTCCAGGACGTGGGTAGTTACTTTATGACATGTCCTTGCGTGAGGGACACGTGGAAAACGCGTGGGGAATGCCCGAGGAGTTCCGGGCAGACAGAGGCCTGTTGGTCAGACGCGAGGGTCCTGCCCGACCACGGGGAAAAAAGAGGTTGCCTGGCCCCGACAGCTGTTGGCGTGTGCCCGACAGAGAGGAAGGTTGTGCCCGACGGGTCTTCTGCCCGCCAGAGTGGTCCAGATGGGGCCCAACTGCAGTGGGCCTTGGGCCTGCCAGAATGTGGGCTAAGCGTCGGGCCAGTCCAGAACAGTTTTGATTGTGTTCTATCTAGCAACAGGAGAAAAAACACCATTATAGTTTATTCCATGCTAAAGTTTAATTAATGAATCATATATAAATCAAAGTAATTAAAATTAGATCAGACATCAAACCGATGTACTTATGAGTTCAGGATTTTAAGATTAGACAAGAGTTTAACCCCAGTTAAACTTATTTTATATATATATATATATATATATATATATATATATATATATATATATATATATATATATATATATATATATATATATATATATATATATATATATATATATATATATATATATATATATATATATATATATATATATTAATGCATAAGAGTAATTATTTTTTTAAAAATTGTATAAAAAATTTATTGATAATTTTATAATAATTAACACTTAACAATTTTTTTAGTTTTTTATATCCTTTTATAATTTTAATAGGTTGGGTACATAGGTCCAAAATTGTAATATAATAATAATATGACAAAATTACTCAGGTGGTTCTTTAGAATATTTAATTGTAACAGTTTATTCCTTTACGTTTTTTCCGCTATATGTCAATACTTTAAGTTGTATAATGTATATACATCGTTGATCTTTTTTAGTTATTCCGTTTCAAAAGTGCAGAGCTGACATTAACGGTGTCTATGTGGCTGTTACATTGCTGAGATGTCAATTGTATGAATATAACTTGATATATTTGGGAAAAAATGTCTTTCTTCTTCATCAAATCCCTAGAATATTTGTGCCCTACACTTCGTTCTCCTACTTTCTCCAATAATGGCTTCATACATAACTAACTTGTCAAATTCACGTAGCTATAACTATAATACTGTCCTTGATTTCGAGTGCAAGTCATGTTGAAATCGAGCCAAGGTGTGCTTGTGGAGCAAATGTCGTGATACATACAGTGAGGAAGAAATGGCAAAATTTTGGAAAATTTTGTTGGGGCTGCAGAAACTTTGTGGTAAGTTTATTGCACTTGTCTGTTATATCTTATTTGATGATGCTAACTGTTAGATGTTAACAAAGTGAAGGTTCAAATAGCGGCGGTAATTTTTTTGAGTGGGTTGAAAAAGAGTTCAATGGTGAAGGGCAAACAGAAAACAATACTTAAAGTAGATGTTCAAAATGCGATGAAAAGGACAGAGAAATCAACATGTTGCATAAAAAAAATAAAGATCCATGGAGATGACTACTACACAAAAGATATGAGGAAGAACATGTTGAAGATGCACGTTTTTGTCATAATGTTTTTAGTTATGATTATTGTAATGTTGATCCATAAGTGGTGATCATGATTTATATTGATGTTAGTGTTGTAAAAAAATTTAGTAATGTGTTGTTGTAATGAATCTCTTTAATGTGATCCTTATTTTGTGCCCAATTTGTCTGTCAAAATTTATGTTTCCCAAATATGTTGCAGTAAATAAATAGTTTATGCTCATATTTGTTCCACTAATCAATAAATAAAGGACATATTTGTCGAATTAAAGAAATTAAAGTACGTGTTTGGTCCTCTATTGAATAATTAAAGGACATGTTTGTTACACTAATGAATAATTAGAGGTCATATTTGTTTAACTAAAGAATAGATAAATGACGTATTTATTACATTTTATGAGACGGAAAAAACCTGCGATTAACAACTTAGTATTTTGTCACAATCTATGTTGCAGTAAGGATGATTCAAATTACCATCCAAAATACATTAAGAGACATCATTGACTACGTGATCATTTCATGAAGTACCCAAATCATCCTTAGTGCAACAAATTACATATTTCATAAAGTACCCAAAATACCATTTCATAAAGTATCCAAAGTACCCAAGATACATCAAATTACATATTTCTAAGTCAACCAAAAAACAAAAAACAACTACATGATCATAACTCAGCAAATTATAATAGTCAATATTCTAAGTGTGTTTTCTCTTTATACGCAACTTAGGTGGTGTCCTTCTTGGTGGCTGAAAAGTTGATGTTGCTCCTTGAAAAGCTATAATCCCTTTTCTTGGTGATACTCTTGTTTGGAGTGAAGTGGTATGATCCGTCTTTGCTTAAAGTCTTGTTGTTGTTTGTGTCTTGGTCTATGTTGAATGAGTTTGGGATCTTCTTGGTGATACTCTATTTTGAAGGTTTGGTTTACGTTGTGGTTGAGATTGTGTATTTGTGGCTGGTGATAGTCTACTTTGATGTCTTGTAGCTGGTTATGCATTGGATGGTCGTGGTTGTGATGGATGTGTCTGTGATGGTTGTGTTTGTGATGGTTGTGTTTGAGATGGTGCAGATTGGGATTGTGCAGTTTTTTTTGGAGCAGTTGGGCAAGAGGCTTTGTTGTGGCAAGATTTACCACAAATTAAGCATTTATTTGGAAGCCCTCTCCTGCTAACAATTGTTGTATCTTTTCTCTTTTCATCAACATCTTTGTTCCTTCTTCTCTTAGGCCTCCCTGGTGCTCTTCTTGATGATGGTGGAAGTATGTTGGGAGATGGGGTATCTTCCCATAAATTTTGGCCATTGGTTTGGGTAGATGATAAGGTTGTAGTAAGTCTGGTAAGTCTTCTTCCTATAAATGGTAGGAATGTAATCTGCAGGGTCTCCAGCTCTCCTTTGGATGCATACAATTGCATGGAAGCATGGTATGCTAATTAGTATCTAACTCTTACAAGATCACTCTTTCTGCTTGTGGTCAACTGTGAATTTGTCTCCTGATACATTGATATGCCTTACTTCATAAATCATACCTTCAGCAAGCCTTGCAAACATAAAAATTACATTGAGTTATAAGTAATATGAGATAATATAGGTGCAATAGTATAAGTGAAATAATCAAGTGAATTACCTAGCCATATAAAATGTTGATATTTTAGTTTGTCTTTCCAAAGCCTTTGTAATTCTTGGAAGCACAAAACCATTATAAGCTTCAATCTTGTTTCTGTTTGTTGCCCATGTACCCTCTTATATCCTCTAGCATTGTAACAATAGGCTTTTGTCTCGGTCCAATTATAACACTATTGAAAGTTTCTAACATATTGTTAACCAGAACATCACATTTGTTGTCATAATTGAATCTAGACTTACTCCAAAATCTAGGTGGAATCTTCCATAAGTATTTGAACGCCTCTTCATTAACCTTCCTCATCTCCTTCATTTCCCTTTCCCATGCTTGAGGATATGTTGCTTTGGCTTCCCTCCACATCAGTTCTTTCAACTGTTTCCCAGGAGATCTTTTTTTTATAAAAGTTGTTGTATAAGTGTCTTACACAAAATCTTTGGTCAACACTTGGCAACAATTCTTCCAATGCAGGTAACAACCCCTAAACATAAAAAATAGTTAAACATAGAGTTTATGGTACTAAAATAATAATGACTATGTGAAAATGAATGTACCTTTTGTTAGTCTGATATAAAAGTAAATTTCATGCAAACTTGTGGATCACCTAAATCTTGAACTAGAAGATCAAGAAACTAAGCCCATGAGTCCTTAGTTTTTGCTTCAACTACAACCAATACAATGAGCATCATTTGGTCATTAAGATCTCTACCTATTGCCGCCAAAATTTGTCCTGCATAATGACCCTTGAGAAAACACCCATCAACTCCAATGATTGGTCTACAAACTTAAAAAATTCTCTTACAAGCATTAAGACACATATATAGCCTTTGAAAACTTGGAAATAATGGTTTGCTTACATAGTTTTCGTGTTGCTCAGTTTCCTCACTTTATGGTTCAATTGGTTGCACTTTAAACTTAATAGTGCTATTTGAATTTGATCTCAACAACTAATGTGTGTAGTCATACAACCTCAGATATTATTCCTTGTATGAGTCTTCTATATAATTTAGTGCTACCTTCCTTGCCCTATAAGCCTTCATCCCACTCATACCAGTGTTATATTTTTCATGAACTTTTTCACATATTGTAGTGAGTTCCACAGCTGGATTAACTCTAACACTTGAGTACATCTTTTCCCAAGAAATTGGGTGTTACACATCCTTACATTAAACTCCCTATTACATGAATGAGTGTCAATTAATTTCCTCAACTGTCATGTATCCTCATTTGGCAATCTGGAACATAATGCAACCCATTCACACCCTTTCTTGCATCCCACTCTAACCATTGTCTTATCATTCTTTATAAAGCGTAAATCTCTACCATTATTAACAACATAGTTTGTTATTGCTTATTTAAACCATTCATTTGTTGAGAAAATGATATCCAAACCCACTTATAATCTACAAACTTCTTAGGCATCACAAACGATGAATATTTTTCCTTTGTTACTTCCTCTGAGTAGTCAACACTTGAATCCTCATCAGTCACTAACTCTTTAGATTTATAATCTAAATCTGACATACCCGCATCTACCACTTTTCCTCTATTCCTTTCAACAAAACCAAAATCCAATGTATTTTCATCACTAGCTTGTTCATTTTCAACAGACATGACTTTTTCAACCCTTTGTTTGCAAGGTCTACCCTTTTTTTGTTGGAACTTCCCTTGGCCTTTTTTTTTTCTTAGGTCTCCGACCCTTACTTTTTTTCCTTTTGCTTACCTCATCCACTTCTAAACCATCCACTTGATCATTCTCCCTAGAAACAAATCCCCCATCCAAAACCTCATCAATTCCATCATTCAATATCTCATCATCAAAGTCATCAAACTTGCACCCTAATGCACTATCATTACTTTTTTTCATTATGATCACTCTCAACATGTATCTCAGATATATCACTCATCGTGTTATGTAGGCCCAACCCTATGTCAGTTTCAGGTATGTCCGTATTTTGTTCAGTTTCAATTAAATATCCTAAAGGATCCGAGAGTAATTTAGCCTAATAATATTCTAATGATTTTATCAATTGTTTATTAATTGTCTGTTGACAACGCTGCCTTATTATTTTCTCTTCTCATAATATTATGTGTTGCGTTGTATTTTATTGTATCCGTCTATTATGTATTATTATACAAAATTCACTTTTATTCATCAAATGAATAAAGACTAACAAAGGAATTGTGAATAGTTTTTAACTTCATTTTAGCTAGTTTTTGATCGGTTTTCACTTAAAAATCACTAAAATCGTCGATTTTTTTTTTTTTTTGTTTTTAGCTAGTTTTTGATCGGTTTTCTAATTTAAATATCAATTTTTCTACATGTCAATTTTTAAATCTAAACATACTGATTAAGATCTAGTTTTTGCTTTAACCGATCGAACCGACAATCCAATCCGATTTTAATTAACATGTATAAAATGTTATATAACTTTATATTCAAAATTATCTTATGAACTTGTAGATTTCATAAAAAAATTTGCATTCCAAAAAACAAACACAATTGATTAATTAAGGTGTGTTTGAAATGTATCATTAAGACGTGAAGTGGTGCATTTTGGGATTTTCATATATAAAAACATATATGGTATGATAAGCTATTCCTAAGAAGGTCCACATATAAATCATATTTTAATAAAATAAAAGAAAAATATAATATTGTTGGATAAAAATTAAAGTGTTTTTGTTTCAAACAAGTTTATCTTAAAAAGATTAAAACTAAAAGAGATTAACAGCACAAACTCTTATGATCAAGTTTTGACTTAACAGTAACTTCAATATCATCGTCACTCGTAACTTTACCCCACAGCCACACATCAACGCACCACTCCACTTCTACCAATCTCTCTTCTTTTCGCTATCACCAATTTCACATGCAACAACATCAACAATAAATGCATCTTCTTCTTCAATTCGCTTTTTGATTCCTCTCTCTCTCTCCGTCCATGGCGACGCTGACGGCACCTCCGCTACTTCCCTTTGCAAGGACCGCAACCACGTCCTCCACCAAGAAGAAGAAGAATCATCAGAAGCAACGAGCACTCGGAAATTTCGGTCACTTCGGGCAAGTCGTTCGCAAGGACATGGATTTCCTCAAAAGAGGTTTTAATAATGGCGTTGCGTGGGCTAACGACGCCTTCCGTATTCCTCAAATTACGAAGAAAATTGATGAAATTGTTTGGCTTCGCAATCTCGAAGATCCCATTGCTTCTAATTTTTCCACCCCTTCTTGGCCAGAGCCTTGGTACCCAGGTACAATACCCAGTTTTACTTTGTTTTTTACAAGGGTTTAACTTCGCTATTATATGAGTGTAGCTTAAGGGGTTTCCAATTGCGCTCTTGTAAATTAAGATAATGAAAATATGATGCATTGAACTGGATAATAGCATCACAATTAGAGATATGATTTACTTATTTCTTCTTTGTCTTCCAGGACTGTCTGGAGTAGATTTGCTTTTGTCTGATCTGAAGGCGTTAGAAGTATATGCTAGTTACTTCTATCATTCATCTAAGATTTGGTCAAAGCCACTGCCTGAAGCTTATGATCCCCAGGATGTTGCTCACTATTTCAATGCCCGGCCCCATGTTGTGGCCCTTCGTATGCTTGAGGTAATTGGATTGATAATTTGATTTAAATCATGTTATATTCCCATTTATGAATCTGCTCATTTCCTTCATAAAAGTTAGGTTAAGTAGTGGAAATTTCCCTTTTAATAGCTTAAAATATTCCTTTTAGCTCAAGTCACAATACCTCTATTCTATGTAACCTACTTATTTAAATTTGATTTTTGTCCTGTGATCAGTTTTACATATCAGCAGAAGATAATTGTGTTCTGCAGATAAAATGGCATATAATTATGTATAGGGACAAAGACTTAGGAATAATTGTAGGACCAAAAGATTTTGTTTTTTGGGGGTCAGCAATTGCAAGTTGAGATGAGTTTGACCATTTACATAATAAGAATTGATCTTTTGCAATATTCATCTGTTTTGAATGTTGCAATACAAGAAATATTTTAATCACTATGAATTATTGGCAAGTGTGATAGATAGGCTCTAGTTGCCCCACTTATAGGATATGCTAAATTGAAGGTTGAATATTTTCTGATGTATTGAACTCAATTGCATCTTTATAATCATATGGTATGATCTTTGATAAACTGATCCTGTCCTATCAACAGATAACTTACATGCTCGTGCACTGTGCAAATACTAACTTATAAAATTGCCATGTTGTCATACCTGCATACAACAGCAACAACAACAAAACTATTTTCACTAAATGATTTGACTAAACGAATTAGCAATGCCATAAACTCCTGTCATGTATTAGGTCCACAAATAGACATTTGCTTCAAAATCTTTCTTAATGGTTTGACCTATAGTTTTCCTTGGTCTTCCTCTACCTCTAAATATTTGACTATCCTCCATTTGCGCTACTATTGTGTCAGACCTCTCATTAAGGAAAACTGATTTTGCTTAGTTCTGTAGCTACTTATCTTTTTAAGTAGCAATTATCATATTATTAGGAGCAGTTATTATTTATTAATTTTGCATGTTTATGTTTAGAATAATTAGGGGAAGACAGGGGAGAGTTTATTATATTGGAATCATTGAGTGGCTAGGGGGAGAGACTTGACTCTTGAACATTTGGGAAATGGAGAGGTTAAGGCTCTCTAAACCTTGGAGAACAGTTATCCTAGATTCCTAGTGTTATTCCCTCTGTCCCACAATGAACGATCCATTTGGAACAAAAATGTGTCCCAAAATGAATGATCCATTTCAATTTTCAAT